TTGAGTCCTGGACCTGGCTGCTTGCTTTCTCACTTTCCCTCTCTGTCTCTCTCTGGTGAGCACATGTGCCTTGTAGCAAATTATAAAATAAAAATAATAAAAAATAAACAGATCACTCTGAACTAAGGACAATTTCTGAGTTTTTTTAGAGAGTTTTTTTGTTATAGGGCATGTGTGCTCGCCAGAGAGACAGAGGGACAGAAAGTAAGAAATCACCGCCCAGGAGGTTGGCCACACCCCAATCCCTTCTCCTCCATTCTCCTCCTGGGATCTTGGGCACACACGCACACACACCCGGTGTGAGTTTTAAGCCCTGGGTCTGGGACTCTTAACTGTGGTCAACTATGCGGGAGTCCAGTGACATGGCCATTATGCCACCTGCTGGTCCCACTAAGGACAATTTTGAGAAGGCAAGAGTTAACTGTGGGAGAGAGCTGGGAGTTGGATGACATGAGGCCAGGGAGAGAAATCCGGGGAGGTAAGAAATAGCCCCAAGTGCAGTGACAGAGGAAGTGACAGCAGCCACGACACCACGTCAGTGCCCGCAGACGCTCCGTAGACTGGTAGGTCAAGGAGTCATGACACAGCAGTGCACATATATTTGAATGACTGAGGTGAACTAAATGTAGGAAGTTGAAAATTTCCGTGTTCAGAAGAGGCATTTTGGTGTTGGGAAGTACTATATAAAATTATTTTTGCTTTTTATGATAGACGCCATGTACTAATCATTTACTTTCTTTTTCATATATTACTTTGATAGAAATGCGTATTTCTGAAATGAATCTAAAGGGGCTGGTAGGTGCCATGGTGGTTAGGGTGCTGGACTCCCAGTGGCTGACTGAGGTCCAAGTCATGGACATGACGGCTTGCTTCTCACTCCCCATCCCCCATCTCTCTGTGGTCAAATAATAATAATAATAATAATAAAATTAGATAAACAATTCTTTTAAAAATAATCTTATAATCTAGTTACTTGGATGCACACACATACACACAAATACAAAATGTACAACTCAAAGCAATATATTGTGGCAACTGCTGCAAGATGAAACACATTTTAAAATTGAGTGTGGTTTCGAATAGAGGCTCTTCTAACCAGGTAGGTGACCCTCTTCAAGATACTTTTGTTTTGGTTGCAGCATAGGGCACACATGCTTGCTGGAAAGAGACAGAACCACCCCCCAGGGTCAGGGGAATGGCCACACCACAATCC